TCTTAAAGTTGATAAAGTTGAGGAAACTCTGGTTTGGTGAGAGAGAGGCGGATATGCCAGAAAAAATAGTCTGTGTGTGTGTGCGTGTGCGAAAAGGAGCCAGGCATGTAAACGGGGGGAGGCAGTGCACACTAACCCGGTGGCCTGCAACTTTGCGCCCCGCAGACCTGAAAAGGATGCCCACCCTTTGCTCCAGAAGGCCGGACCTGGCAGCTTGGCGGTCCTGTCCAAGCGCTGCCCTCCCGCCCCAAAAGATTCCCCCTTGCCTGCAAGGCGTTTACCTTGAACTTGCCCGAGTCCTGAGCTGCTACCACGGTGATGATCTGGTGGGACAGCAGGATGAGCAGCGGCACGAGGGAAAAGCCCGCGGGGATGGTCAGGAGCACCCTGGCGCGGAGGAGCCGTTAAGGCCTGGCGTGGAGAAGAGAGGGTGCGCTAGAGCGAGGGGGCAGTTGGGGGGGGCGCCCTGGGGGGCCGCGGTTTGGATAAGACGGACACAAAGGAGTGCTCCAGAAGTCTGGCCGACGGTGGTCAACTGGGGGAAGATGACCTTCATACCACATCTGCCTGGAGAGAATATGCTTCAGCGCATGGATTCCCACACACACCACCCCCACCCCCACCCCCTCTGGAGAGGGGCACCAACATTTTGCACTTGCACTTCATGAAGCAAGCTGCCTTCTGCCTGGTGCAGAGCAACAATACCCATCATCCTCAACCAACATGGCCAAAGGCCGCGCTGGCTGTGGAGGGTATGCGCAGGGTGTCCGTAGGCTGTGAGAAAAAAAAGTCAAGATGATGCAATTGAAGCTCCCCGTTTTTTACAGGCATCATATAAAAAAGATTTTAAAAGATGGCCACCATCTTGACTTTTTGGACCCCCCCGCCCCTGGCGAATGGGGTCATTGAGCCCCCTTGGAAAGCTCCAACTTGGGAAAAGGGAGGCTTCAAAATAAGGAAAGGGCCCGGTGGCAAGGCGCGCCGTCAGAGGGCGCCGGGCGAAGGATACGTGCAGATCTTTTCCACGCCGAAGGGCTGCTGGGTGTTGAGCGCCAGGTAGGTGAGGCAGGTGATGAGCACGGCCAGGTCGTAGCTGGTCAGGAAGAAGACGAAGAGGAGGAAGAAGCGGAAGTTGTGGCAGCCGATGCAGTTGTTCACCCACATGCAGTGATGGTCGAATTCCTGCTCGGGAGCCCAGAAAGCGGGGGGAAGAGTTGACATGGGGCCCTTATGGGGAGAGGGAGCAGGCCTTTGGGGCCCCCCACCTGCATTCACACAACACACTTAACCTGGCTACTGACTAAACCCCTTTTCTGGACTGGCACCGTACACTGAAGGACAGAGGAGCCGAAAGGGCTGAGTTCGCACAACAAGCTAAACCAGATAAACACAGAGACATGCCCATACACACAAACTAACCAGGATTAACACCAGCTAAACGAGCATATGGTGCAAGCATACCTGCTTGGTCTAACTGACCTCGTTCAGTGTGTTGTTTGAACCCAGCAAGTTAGTGCATTGTAGCTCCAGTGATTTCATGAGGTCTAGCAGCATGGGTTGGGATTTGGTGCTGGTCTTCCAGGTGAGGCCTGAAGATGACCAACAGGCAATTCCCTCTTTCCAAAGCATCTTGGGACGCATCTTGTGTCCAGGCATCTGCCCGGATGAAATTGGGTGTTTCGTGGCCATGGTGGCTGGTTCACACAATGCATGGACTAGGCTGGAGCGAATTTGGGGAGTTTGCGGTGCAGGAGATTGTGGGAACCAAGCTATTGTGGGATTGACTTCAGGCACGGCGCGTTCTACGTGCACAGCAATTGCATTTTCTTAACCCTGGTTTAGGGCTTGGTGTGCTTTGTGAATCCAGCGCATGAGTTTGCAAGGAGACCAGAACAGCAGCAGAATCAGACAACCAAGGTTTAAACTTCAGCTGAACAGAAGGGAGGCTACTTTGGGCCAGAATCTTGTCTGGTCATGGCTATGTTCACATAACAGCTGCTTAACCTGGTCAGACAGAGATCTAGCAAATGCGTTTGCACATGCTAAACTTGGTTAGGGTTAATCTTATGGCTTAGTTTTGCGGCTTAGTATGTTGTACAAGCCCAAAACGTGGGTAAATTCAGTAATTAGATCCAGTGTAGACAATTAGATTGTGCGAATGCAGTCAATAGGTAGTCTACTCAGACAGCCTAAATTTCCATCTTTGGAAAACTGGCCAGGAAGATACGTTCAAGGAAAATCGTGGCCTGGAGAGGCCGTGAGGAAGAATGACGCCGTGTTACAGCAGGTGGCAGCAGCTGGTCGGCTTTGGCTAGCAGCTTCAGACCTGGCTGGGTCCTTGGATGGGAGACCACCAGGAAACCCCAGGTCAGTAAGCTAGACAGAAGCATTAAACACACCCACGGTGGAAGAAAATTTCACCAACGTGGATTTTGCTGCTTGACTGGGGAGACGTTTTGCTTGTGCAGACAAGCCATACTTTACCTCCACACAAGTGTTGCACCAGGAACAGTGGAAAGTGTGTGGCAAGCAGTACAGCTGGCATTTGTTGCACCAGTGTTGCTGGAGGCTCCCTAGGGTGTTGGCCTGGTTCTCCAGCTCTTCTTCAATGCCTGGGTCAGAAGGAAAGGAGACCAAGGGGTGTGAAAAGTGGCTTTCCTTGCATTTGCAAGGGCGAACATGGGGAGTTTCTGCAATGAGTCTTCCCTGAAGGAGGGGAGTTTAGAAATGGGGGTCTCTTTAGCTGGTGACAAAGAGGAGACATGAAAGGGGGGCATTTTCATTTGGTCTGGTCTGGAGAGGTTGGAGGGGGGCACGAACTTCCCCCTCGCTTGTGGTATCAGGGGTCAGAGGAGATACTGGATGATGGGAGGGTCTTGGCAGGGAAAGGAAGCCCTTTTGCACAGCACCAGGTCGAACAGCGCAACTCAGCGACACCGGATGCAGCTGCGCCCCCCTCCCCAATTTGGGTGGCTTTAAAATGGGAGCAGAAAACCCCATGGGCGAGAAGACCGCCCTTGGCTCCTCACCCTGATGGCGAGGACAAGTCTGTATTTCCTGCAAGGGCACTGCCAGCTGGGTGCAGGGGTGAAGGTGCTGGGTTGGCCCTGGAGAGGGCCAGGTTCAAGCCCGCCCACAGCTGTGGAAGAACGGCCAATCCCATTCTCTCTCAGCCCAGGCTACCTCGCAGGGTTGTTGTGGAGAGAAATGAGGCAGAGGGAGTGCCACACGCATCACTTTGGGCTCCTGAATGAAAGGCTGGATATAAATCTAACCAGCAAACCCAGGCCTAAAGAAATGCTGGGTACCAGCTGTGCCAACATCTGGACTTCCCACGGTCTCACCTGGGCAGAAGAATCCTTGTGCATCTTCCCCATCCTCTTTGAGGATAGCGGCTGAATTTTCCTGGGGCTAAAGGGGGGTAAACCGTGGAACAGGGGCGCCCCGAGAGCAGGAGTGGGCTCCCCTTGCTGAAGGT